CTGTGCCAGTTTTGTTTTCCAAAACCAGGAATGTGGGCAGTAACTTTTGGATCAGGTTTAACACTTGTGCTCCAGCTGAGTCTGGAGAGAAGAGCAGCAGGGAGCGGGGCAGGACAAAATGTGCTCTTGCCAGTAATCAGCTGCTTAAGTGCTAATCAGGACTCCACTGATATACAGTGTGGCTCACTGTGCTCCACTGGTCACTCAATCACATGAACCCAATACAATAGAGCGCAGTAACTGTTAAGACCACCACCCTGTCCTTCCATTAGTTCAACAAGAGCTATTCATTAATTCATTTATCTGGGCCCTCACAGGAGCAAGGCCATGGAGATACAGTGGGGGGAGCTTTTTAATCAAGCCCCAGCTCCCAACCGGCTGACTGATGTGCAGTGACAAGTGTTTGTTTATCCAGGGCGCAGCTGCCAGAGGGCACAGCGGAGAGGGGATTTCTCTCTCTCTGTACAAACTGAGAACAGCTCTGCCAGAGGAAGAAAAAAAAAAAAAACACACACCAAGGAGAATCTTGAACTTTTTCTAATGAGATCTAAAGTACTGGATGTAATTAGAAGCTGTCTGGAATGAGGACAATTAAGTAGGGTTTTGGTGTCCCCCAGGGTTCTCTCAATGGGTCGAATTAGAAAATGGGTGCAAAAAGATTGATGAGTTCAATGTTTTCCAAATGAGCAGCCTTATACACATAATTACACCAAGGAAATGAATGGATCATCACAATACAAACTCAAGTGAGGGTATGCTAATTGCTCATCAAATGGGAAGGCTGCGGTGTCAGCTGTACAACTGCAGCATTCACAGGAAAACGAGAGCTGGGGAGAGGGTTCTACTGCTCAGATTAATGTATTCCATCTTCCGTTTGTCCATGTTCATTATTCTTCATTCATATTCTAATCCCAGATATCTAGTCCTGTACTCTATGCCTCCATGTCAGACGAACAAGCACATTTTTGTACCTCTTACACTGTTGTAACACATCTGGCATTACACACTCCTCAGCCAACCCTCTTTGATAAGTTGAGGATGATGAAGTAGAAACTACACATCAAAATGTCACCCCCCCCCCTCCAAAAAAACCAAATTTGGCCATACTCCAAAAAAAGATAAGAAAATGAATCAATATATTTGAATGCATCTCACTCCTGCTTCCCTAGTTTACATTCAGCTTTCCCCCTGGGCTTGTAGTGACCCCATCAGACAGTGCAGAGTAGAACATTTTGCCGCTGACTAGACATCAGTAAGTAATATTTAGTGGAGTGATCTTGGGCATAATGACATAACTAATTTGAATAAATCCCCTCTCTATGATATGGGGGTTATAATTATCATCAGAGGTTATAGGACTTCAGAAAAATCTGCCAGTGCGCTTGTTCAGAGGACAGAAGAGTCCAAATGAAACTTGGTTTAAAATGTGAAAATATTAGACCTTTGATCACCCTATTCCGATTTACATTTTCAATATCCACATCTTCTCCTTCACTCTGTGATTTACACAGTGAAAAATATTCAGCATCATCTTAGCCTTGGTCTGCACTTGACCTTGTGTAATTTACATGAGGAATGACAGCTTATATTGTTGAACCGCATGCTTTTTCCCTATTTATAGCATTTAAAAATCATAACAAACCTAAATAACCCATCAGTGAAGTCAGTATGCCACAAGTTTAATCTTCAAATCATCAATCTGGACATCACCATCCAGTGCAGAGTCAGCCCAACTAATTTTCACTGCCTGCTGGCTCTTTGACATCCTCATACTAAGCCCAAGGTGTCAGTGTTGCAGGAGACATGATGGCAGTGGTCTGCTTATCAAATCCCCAGGAAAGGATGGCAAATCCCTTTTCCCCTGACCTTATCTGATATCTGTCCCACAAGCCTTTCAGCATACTCATTCTGCAATGCATTAGACCATACAGCCTTGGGGCTGGCGTGTATCCTTCATTCCTTCCACCCACATCCCCACATGAATAAGTGAGTACCCAGGAAGGGTTGTCTAGATCTCTTTTAATTTCCTCTGGGATGGCCATGGATGCCTTGGCTTGTGGCACAGAGTCCATTTTAGGGATGCTTTAAAAAAAAAAAAAAGGCAAGATTCACATTACAGTGGTTTTGGTATGATCAACTTCATGCAGACTAGACCACATATTTAATTAGTTTTACTATGGTTCAAGAACTAAGCCAAGACATTAAAACACATGGACTGGAGCTTTAAAAGAACAGTGGATACATTTGTGGGCTGAAGCAAAGGAAGCTAAATGTTAGAACAAAATGAGCTCTAATGTGTCTTCTTTGCCAGCTGCTACCAGGGGACACGAGGCTGCAATGTGGATTGGGTTTCAATGTGTGAATAAAGAGAAAATACCAAAAAAAAAAGTTATTCACAAGGCTCGATAGTCCTTTCAGGGATTGTCTGGACATGTTTTGATGCTTCTATCGCCACAGTGGCAGATATTTCAAAGACATTCATGAAAAGCACAAGCAGAAATGCACATCTGTGAGTACAAGCATAAAGATGCCTCAGAGCACTCCTGTTCTTCTATATTAAGGTCACAGCTTGAATCTGTGATGATAGATTACTTGAAATGATGAATATTTATATCAAACTTGAATGAGAGGCAGTGTTACTACAAGTAAATATTGACAAACACATAATGTAGTAGCGATCATGTAAAAATCCAGGATGCATTCAAAGCAGGTGTCGATACCAGAGGGCAGTGAAGGAAACATGAGGGCGTGAAGAGAATCTGCCCCAAGTGCAGACATACAATGTGCAGGGTAGGTTAAAGAAAGATATTAGCAATAATAGAATTTTTATGTAGTTTGGTATGTTATATTTAAAGTCAAACTGAGGAGATGACTGGACTGGAAGACATGCATCAAGTGGTCTCAAACATATACTGTTCATTAGGGTTTAATGGCACACATATGACTGACCAGTCATTTAACTTTAATATTTGGTATATCATAAGGATTTTTGGGTTTTTTTGTCAAATTTGTGCTCTTTTTTTTTGCACAGTCATTGATGCAGTCTTAATAATTTTGAAGGGTTTGTCCTAAACCACCTGATATTCAAGGCAAAGTGGCCATCTAGACTTCTATGTGTGAACTTTGACCCTTGCTGTTTAACCCTCTGTCTCCATATAGGTGTGTCTGGGCAAAGAAGCATTAAAGGCTTCATGTCACCTTGTCCCACTACTACATCAAGCTGATAATGACAGACTGATTATGGTGCGCAGAAATGTTGATGGCACTTAAATTAAAATTATTTCAACTACCAGTGCCAACTTTTTTTTTTTTTTTTTGAGTTCAGCATGCTTAAGTAGAAGTATAACAACAGGGAGAGCTTAGTTATGTATCATATATATATATATATAGTATACATCACTCCACAAAACTGAGCTTTATTTTAAATATTATTGAGAACAGACCATGTGCCCTGATGTATTTGCGTCCAGTTATGACAGCCAGTTTAGATCAAATGTCCAGAGCTGCTGCCACAGTGGAAGCTATGTTGATTAATCAATCATCAGAAAATTCATCAGCAGCTAGGGCTGCAACTAACAGTTATTTTCAGTACAAGTCATTTTTCTAAATTAATCACTGGGTCTATAAAATGTAAGCAAACTGCAACAATTGTTCATTATAAAAGTAAGAAATAGCCACATATGAGAAGCTGGAACTAGTAAAGTTTGAGTAATTTTTGTAGTAATGGTACATAAAAGAAATAAGCGCAAGATGTTACTTCAGTTTTGAGCATTTGCTGCTTTCACATTTTATATAATTGTATAATAATTATATTTGGGGGTTTTTAGCTGTTTGTAAAGACAAGACATTTGAAGACGTCACCCTGTGCTTTAGACAACTATATTTTTCACAATTATATCGACCAAACATAATAGTCCACAGATTAATCAATGATGAAAATAATGATTAGTTGGAGAACCTGGCTGGCATATTATCCCAGTCTGTCTGAGACTGTGACAAAAGGTAGTTTTAATAAAATAAATCAAAACAACCACCATAAAAATTGATGGGGTAATATCAAATAAAGCACAACTGAGTGAGAGGAGCAGAAAAACACAACAACAGCCCCCTGTGGTGAACATGGAACCACTCAGACCCCCCACCTAACTTGTCATAGTCACATGGTAGCACATGGTAGCCCTTAAATAATATTTAAATACAACTAGAATTTCATTAATTAGCTAAAATGTGTTCTTTGTGTACGTGCACGTATGTCTGTTTGTGTGTGTGTGTGTGAAAGAGAGAGAGATAAAAGCACAAAAACACAGGAGAGAAAGAGTGCATTAAAGTTAATGGGCTTTTAATGGAAGTATTTGCTAGTCAGGACCATGGACAGCACCACAGAGAAATTCTAGCCAAACTTGAAGTGACGCATAATCCTGACCCTTATGAAGGAAACTGCATCCAAATTAAATGCATCCGAGCGCTGGTGACAGCACACTGGGGTCTCTCAAAGGATCATTCGCAAGTGTATTTATGCAAGTCAGACATGGCTTTTCAGAGACCTTTAGCGAACTGCAGCAAAATCCATTCCATTCCACCAACAGTTTGGACACATGTACTCCAGCTTGTGACAACTGAGCTCCAGTATACAGTATCATGTATGGGTTTAATGGATGAATGAATAAATACATAAAAGCCTTGTTTAATTATGGCATTTAGTAGAGAAAATTCCTTAGGTTGGGAGGACACAAGCTGTCAGAAGGAGGAGAATCTCTCACACCTGCAGGATGACACATATTCTAAGTCCCTTTAAAAGCTAACAACCTAAATCTCTTCACTGCCTTTTAGAGTGCAGCCATACAGTTTGAGTGGAAATGGAGGAATCATGAAAGACGGAGACTAAAATATGTAGACAAAGACACGTAACAAAAGACCGAGACAAACAAGCAGAGACTGAATTATGTACTACTTCCTAACCTCCGAGCTTAGAAGGTTGTGCTTTGGTTGGCTTAACTTACCGGCTCTCTCAAGGCAGCCCCTTCAAGTCGGCGCCCAAATGCTGGTGTCTGCATCTGAGCTTATCAGGCTTTCCCAGATGGTGATTTGAACGCATGGAGGGAGCAAGAGGTGCGCTGAAAGGGAAAGGGGAGTGAAAAGGAGTGGAGGTGAGTTTACGAAGATGAAACAGACTCTACACTTGAGGGTCAAAAAAATACTTCTTTTTTTTTTAAAGATGTCTATGGATTCATTTCTGTTGGACTGAGTATAGTTTGTATGACAGGCTCCGTGATGTTTGAGGACTCATTTAGAGTGGAGGCATCTGTAATGTCCATTATAGAAAGAAATTACGCTCCCTACAAGCTTGTGTGTATACAGTGCAGCACAAGTGAAGGGTAAGATACTTCCATTCACTGAGGTGTTATAATCAAATTTTTCACCCTACACTGTCAGTGTGCTCAGTTACTCTCACTTCACTGCTCATTAGGTTTTCGAATGACATTAAAAATATATTCTGTATCAAAGACAGTTGCAAAGCTAGCAGCAATTCAGCTCTTAACCATCATCTAAAACTAGTTTTTGCCTAAATGGTCCAAATTTCCTGCTAAAACACAATAATTTATTTACAGAATGTAAAACATGTTTGGTCGCATTCATGACAGCAAAACAGCAAGAGTCATCATGATCTGCGGGGGTTCAAGTGTTGTGTTACCAAATGCGGCGCTACAGGATGCATCCATGCAAGCTCAAGAGCTAATTGACTATAATGTCATTTTATCTGCTTCAGCAGGTTATTGACAGCAACATCCCAGAAGCCTGTTCATCCTTCTGTCAACTCGTCGGCATGGGAGACACCATTATCATCTCATTAAAGCTCACGCTTTCATATAATCCTGACATTTCCTCTCTCTCTCCCTTTCTCCGAGTTTTGGGAGCTGCTACACTTGGCTGTATGGTAGTGGAAACTGTGGACTGTTTGGTGTGAATGTGGATGGGAGGCTGGTGGAAGAGGATGAGATGTATTAAAGAATTTTAATTTCCTGGAGCCACTCAACAGACAGTCCTTACCCATCTGTTACTTCTCTCAAACAACCTCACAACTTAAAATCTCAACATTTCCCTGTACTTCAGCTAAAAAAAACTGAATGCTTAAATGCAACGGATTGCTGAATCCACACCAACTATTTGAAAACAGTTGGCAGTGTTGTCTGTGGAGAATATGGTGTTGAATGGTGCCTAGTTATTAGTGAAATAACAGTTGAAGTGATGAAAAGGTCATTGACATAAGGAATGGGGGACCTGCTGGGATGATAGAAAGAACTCATTGTGGTGTATCTGGGATTAATCTTGTCTTCCCAGTGTTAGAACACACTTCAGGCTGAGAGCAGTTTAAAAAAATAAATCTCACGAAAAAACCACCACACACTTGACTGTTTGCCTTTTAAGTGAAAAACTAAATGAATGCATTAAAGTATGTGCTCACACTTGGTTTGCCGTTTTCCCATGTGTCAGAGCGATCACATGCACTTTTAAAAGGTGAGCAGGGTCTACAGATGACCTTCTCTCTGAACTGTGTTTCTTTTCATCTGCCGTTTCCAGCAACCCACTGCTGTGCCTTTTTTTTTTTAATCTTCCATGGAGGAAAAAAAAAGTTTCAATCGAACAGTGCGTGCAGAGGGATATCAGAGCAATCAATGTGAGGAGCTCCTCTAAAGGAAGCAGCGGCATGTCCCAGTGATGTGGTTGAAGGTGAGAATCTCAAGGCGAATCCCATAATTTATCCTGTACACACTGCAGAGATAGAGCGAAAGGTCTGTACTTCCACTTCTGCAGCTCCTAAGGATGTCTCAACAGCACTGCTTCATGATTGCAGCTGGTTAGGTCCAACTGAAGCATTCCCAGATCAGCGAGCACCAGTGCTAACAGTATTGAGAATCTTGTATAAATAGTTGAAATGATAAACATTTATGCTATTTTATTTGGTAATAAAATATAACAGTTTGTTCTTGACTTGGAAATGATCATTGTCGCTGCAATTGGTATTCAAGTGCCTTGCTCAAGATCACAACAGCAAAGAGTTTTGCATGAGAAGTAATAAAATTACATCCAAAAGCAACAATATAGCAACTAGGGTCTAGCAATTTAGCCATGGGGGCGAAATAAAAGGTTCATTTAAAAGCCTATTTGCATAGGTTAAGTGCACTTATTCTAAAATTGAGGCTTAAACAATGAGTCTGATGCAGAAAAACATATAAGATTATGTTATCAAAACATATTCAATATTATATAAGATATCAAAAGAAATTAGGAGAAAATGAAATAAAAAAAACAGCAATTCATCACAGTGTACAGTGGGGATCTGTTGCAGCTCAAGCATAAAAACAAACAAACAAACAAAAAAACAACAACTCTGAAGCAGTTTAAGGTGTTTTACCTGCAAACAACTTCTTAATCGTAGCAAAAATAAACCCCATATCTAAACATAACCCTAACTGCGAGTGCATTTTTGTTCCAATCACTACAGAATCACAGAAATTAATTTGCTGGAATTTTTTATAATTCAAACATGAGCTTAATAATAATTTTGTATGCTGGTATTTGCATGGTCAAAGTCATAAATGCACAGTGATATAACTGAACTGATAGATGCAGCACAACAAGTTTACAGGAGAAATATATTATTGTTCACATCTGACAGTTGTGAGTACATGGATTTTGGTTTTATTCTTGCTTCCACTGCATTCCATTGATCTCTCAAGCTAACACTCCTAAAACCTTGCAGGACAAAAAGACATAAGACGCAATCCATATGCAATAGACAGAATCATGCAGCAGAGTTAAGTTGGGCTTGGCACCAGGGTACATTGAAATGATCCAACTGTATGCACCATGACGCTGAGAACATTTTCAGATTTCTGTTGCAATCCCATTTCTATCCTTCCATTTGGGCTGTTTTACTGGGTTTAATGGCAAGACAAAAATATTAATTATTTTAGTTTTGTCTGTTTGCACACAAAACTGTTTATTTTTTCCTCATTTTTCTTTCAGCAACTTCCAAAACAACACACCTCTGTGAGCTCCCATTTACATAATCCTGGAGCATCAGTGACAAAATCAAAGGAAAAAAAAAAACAGTCTGAACCAAATGTGCGACAGCTTGCCATCAATCCACACAGCATACACTGGACCAATTATTCTCCACCTGTCATGAACTCACAGCCTATTCAAGTCACTCAGAGCCTATATGTAGCTGTTGTGTTTGGTATTGCTATTCTAATGTCACACCACACCACAGAGCTGCATTCTGCCAGACCGTCAGCCAGCTCAGTCCTATCAGGAACATCAAGTACAAGTTCAGACTACTCATGGCTCTAGATACAGATGTCTCTGTGTTCGGCATCAGCTCTTAGGCTGGGGGCAGGACACCACCATATTAGCAAAATGAGGCCTAATCGTCCAACTGTGCTGCTCAGAGGAAACATCTGTTCTGTGAGTGAGCACACGTGTGGTTTCACACATACAGTATGTATGCATATAAACACAGTCTGTGCACATACAGTATATGCAGCCACACATATGGGTGTAGGGCAGACACACAGGCTAACAGACACACAGTGTGCAGTCAGTGTATTCCTGAGGCAGCAGGGAGGGAAGTGTGCCCCGGCTGTTGTACATGAGGGAACATGAGTGATATGGCTACGTGCCTCCAGGCTGCGCTTGTCACTCTGCTAAATTGTTGTAATTTTCTTCTCCTGGACTGTTCTGCAGTTGTGCAACTTTCTACAGTTCACCTTTCCACTGTCCTTAGGGCAGGGAGATTAAAAGTTGTGCCCTAATACATCAAATCCGTGCAAACATCAGTATGAAAAACAAAGTCTTCAATTTTTGTTTCACTCCATTCTTTAAGGAGATGATCTATAATCATACAGCATGCATTCAGCACCACAGTACTACCCAAACACTGTGTGCATGCACACATACAGAAGCCAAGACAAAATGCAGTACAGTAGGTCAGGCTTTAAATGCACCCTCTTCCCCTCATTTATTCAATATATGCATGCCTATGCAGTCACACAGAGAAGTAATAATGGCCATGCAAAGCATCATAAGGATTCATCTCAAACTATTCTATATGCATTGCTCTTTAGGTCCTTACTGATCTGAGTAGGGCTGAGGGAATTGTCAGTTTCTTTAACCCAAAGGTCTGACAACATCCCTCCCAGGTTAGCCTATCTAGGCTCACTGCAGAAGACTAAACAGTTTGGACATCTATAACAGGCTGAAGAACATTATGGTAAGGGGAGATGGTGAAGTCATGTTTGTACAGTTTTGTAGTCGAGTGCTCAAATGTGACTAAGATAAACCCAACAACTCTTATTTACAGTTCCACCATTTACTGCAAGTTGTCTTTTATATTTCTACATGAGTGCTGCTTTTGTCAGAAAAGGTTGGATGTAGTTCCTTTAGTTTAACCTCTCATTTTGTATAAACTCAAGCTTGTGAATTTGCAAAACTATATGTGTGCATGTGACTTGTGTGTCTGTTTTTTGAGGACAAACTAAAAAAGGTTAGAGCAACAGAAAGGGGGAGGAGTAAAATGAGCGGGAGGGGGAAACATGAGGTGAGAGAGAATAGCTAAAAGTCCATGTGCGCCCAGTCCTGTACTCAGCTGCTGAGTGCGGCTCTCAGGTTGCCATTTGTCCATTCTCTGCTCTGGAGAGAGGGGTGAGGCACTGAGAGGGACTCCCTGCAGCAGATGGCAGAGTTATGCTCTGCAAAGAGGTGAGAAATAGCCCATTAGCCTGACCAAAAATTACAGTCTGCCTCCACTTTAGTGCTCAGTCTCCAGTACACCTGACCAGATTGGGACTGCGCCTGGTGTGATCATCACTCGAATCTGAATGTTACACTGTTGAGAAAAAACAAAAGTTATCTGCTTTTCCCATCTCCATTCTTGCTCTATGAGCATCGGTTCAGTAAAGAGAGACCTAGTGGAAATGCACTCCATTACTACAGGCTAAGGCTATAAATGTCTTCAGCTAAAATTGATGAGGAAATGTGAGTCATCAGCTAATCTTTTAAATTTCTGCATTTCAAATTAATTCAAGAGTAAAAGCTTTGTCCAAACAGAAACTTGTAAACTTCCATTTATTTTAACTATAGCCCCTAAAAACATCATGTAGTAATCTTCTAAATCTGTAAACGCCGTCATGTCCAAGTGACAGTTATGAGCCTTTGATGCAATAATAAAATGTAAATGACCCTTTGGTGCCTCGTAAAATGAAGCCTGCTGTTGCCTAAACTATCTAATCAATTGATAAGAACAGCCAGTGCGCATATGAGAATACGTAATCATCTTGTTCTTCAAAATGTCTTCAAGAGCAGGGCGTTTTATGGAGCCCCTTTTTAAACCTGATTTGTGGTGAATTACTGAAATAACAATTCTATTCATAGTTTAGTTATTGCCACTGGAGAGTGGCACAAAAGGATGAGGGACTTGGGAGACCTTTAATGCCTTTCTATTTGCTGAATAAGGTGAGAATGAATTTATGCGACAGCTTTCCCAGCAAAAGACACTACATTACAATGTGGGGACTTGACAACCATGTAGGGATTAGTTTGCGTTACACTGGAAGTAGACAGTTTGAGAAAACTGTTTCAGAAGGAATTAATGGAACATTAGACATGTCAAAAATGTATGACATCATTACAGCTGTTGCAAAGTGATAAGAACATTTTAAAAGATCAAATGTTCACAACAGAAACAGCAGCACCACCACACTGGATGACTGTTACAGACCGCCATGACTTGTTAACTCCAATAAGGGAACACAAACAGCTCACACTGTGTGATCCACATTAGTTACTGTACCACAGCACACACACCCACACAAAAGTGCCTGATGATGATGTCACTGACCTAAGACAACAACTAGTTGTAAACAAATAATGATGGGCTGTGCTTTCCCAAAGAACTGAAAACTGTCTTGTTTTTAAAAATGTTTTTGGATTCCAAACAGGATGGAAGAACGTTTTAACATTTTGGATTCCAAACAGGATGGAAGAACATTTAAAAAAACGACATACAGTTAAAAGTCATTTAGACAGATGTGAGTTTCATTGTTGTATGAGCGCATTGTCTGATCGATGCCTTATATCACGTTATTCTGAGCGTGGCAGAGACAAACACAGAACATAGACAAACAGTAGACTATTTCACTCACATTTGAAACTCTCGCTCCTTCTCTTTGCAGAAAAGAAGCGGTCAGTATGCCAAATAAAGTCCGGCCACATTTGTCACTGTATGGATAATCTTCCGCTGTTGCTGACAGACAATTTCATCACAGCTAAAAAATTTTTTTACTGGTAACCTGTCAGCTAACTCATTCACCTGCACAGTAGTTTCATTGAAATCAACTTCACCTGGCTCTTTTTTTTTTGTTTGTTTCTTTGCATGCAACTCCACATTTCAGCACAGGGGCACTGTTTTGCCACTTTTTCAAGATCTCAAGAACTCAAGAAGAAATTCTGTGGCAACGGACTGTACATAGAACATTTACAGTGATAGCTGGCTTGAACAAAAAAGGAGACTAAGCTTACCTTGGTTCTTGAAATGAAACTGCACTTAGCTAATGGATGCACAAGGGGGCCCAATTTGGTTTGAGTGAACAGACTTGAAGTTTAATTATAGCAATTATTAAAGCCAAATAGTTTAACAATTCCCAGGCTTTCTGCTATTATTTCAATAAACATAAAGCACTGTGAGCTTTCATTGTGAACAATTATTACAAACTATCAAGTCTAACTAAGACAAGTGTAGGCCTATAACATCCACAGAAATCTATTTTAGTTGTTGTACTGAGAGACAAAGAAAAAGGCCTGTACAAAATTGCAACTGTGAAAAAGTTCACCCAAGGGGAGCTGATCAGGAAACAACGAGGCTGCTATCTGTGAGATGAACAAAACATAATTCAACTCAAAACAACAGGGGCTCTGATGCCGCACAGGGCGCACAACAGCGGGAGTCTTTTAAATGTCACAGTCACTTGCTTCCTGTACCCTGCATGACCACTCACGTTTGCGCCCAGTCAGTTGACTGTGATGTCAATACAGCTCATTTAAGGGCAGGCATCATCACGCCATAGCTCGGCTCACAAGCAGAACATAAATAGCACAGTTTATAGTAAGGGCCGACAAAGAAATCACCTGCTGATGGTGTGAAATGAAAGCACAGTCTGGCGTGGACATCACTTGGTTTTAGTGCTCAGTTCTGAACCATCTGAATGAAAACATGATGTACAGAGGTGGTTAAATGTGTTGGTATTTAAAAAGAGAAACCACTGAAATAACTTGAAGCTGACATGAGTAATTGGCATCCATTTTGCTTTTTTTTTTTTTTTACTCCATATTCAATAGAAGAGATGCTGCTTTTGATTTTTGATGTAACATTTTAATTAATACAACTAAAAATGTCATGGGCCCTTTATATTTTCTGGGGTAATCACTGCAATCAATGTGGCTGCTCCAGTTTTCTCAGATCTGATTGGTGCCTTCTCCTAACTGTGATGTTCAGCTCTTCCCATAGATGTCTGACTGGATCAGGATGCATACAGTAGCAGATCACTTCAGAATGATCTGTTATCTTCTCACCCATTCTTGGAGGTTTTTAGAGATGTATGATTTGGGTTAGAAGCCATGCGCTGTGACTGAGACAGAGCTCTATGACACTGGGCAGAATGCCCATCTGATTCCATTGTGTTCTAAGGCTCAGTTTTCCTCTTCCTGCTTAGGAAAGTTGACTACAGTCCCATGGACCTTAAACTCCCTAATAATATTATCAACTTGTCAGAGGAACAAGAAGCTGGTCTTGTAGCCTTTATCTTGACCATGCTTGGCAATTTTTCCCTTAAGACATCTCTCTTCATTCTTTTCTTGTGTCCATGCTCAGTGTGGTGCACACAGTGAGACCCAACAGGACAATGAGGACTTTTCCACATTCAAATAAAATGAATGACTGTTTAAAAAAAAAGACTGAAGACACCTGTGATACTAAGTGAAGACAGTATTCTTGAATATCTCTTCTAAGGAGTACCAATAATTTCGTTCAGGTTATTTTATAATGTCTTTACATAATAAGAGAGAATTTAGCTCTCTTCTTAGCTTCTTTGTTTTATTCTGAAAGGCATGCAGGTATGCATGACAAAAGAGTTTTTAATTTAATCAGTATTCAGAAAGAACAGAGTATATTTTCAGTGAGGTATAAGGGTACCAATGCCGAATGTGGCTAGATGAATGCAAAGCTGCAAATGCTCCGTGGGACTTTGTCAAATCTGTACATTTTTCAATTGTTTTACAGATGATGGAATATTCAACTAAGCTCTCTTGTCAACATTTTGCCATTTGTTAGATCTCTGATGGCTTCTATCTTTAAATGAAAGGCTTGTTGGCACTGATGAATATTCCTCTGCTGTAATGAAAAAGTACCCAACTTTTTTTTTACTGTTCAGCTTCTACTGAGGGTACATTTGTCTATATTTTCTTTGAGAACAATGTTTCATTCCATCTGTAAATGTTTCAACATGGATGGCCATATACAGTGTCTCTCTTCTGGTAAGTGTAAAAAGCAGCAAGAGGAGACATTTTATATTGTAAACACACAACAGAGGAAAGCACTGAATACACATTACTTTGGGAACAAGCTCTCACACAACTTGATAAGCGATATCAATCAAAATGTCACACCCCCATGTGCAAGTTGGCTGTGTAACCTTTCACAGAGTGTTTAAAGAATAACAGCTTGAGTTCAAACTCCCTAAAGGCATGGATGTTTGTCAACTTTTGGCCTTTTTTATTTTCTTGAACTACTTCACTGTGAGGCACTCTGATAGAAAAAAAAAGCACAATTTTTCATTTCACGGGGCATTTGAGGTGAATTTCTATTTTTCAGTGTCACAGTGGTCAGATTGAGTGTCCTCCATGTAGGAGGCATGAGCCAGAAAAAAAGTGAATACTGAGTGAGAGGCATAAAACTTTTGTAGAAACATGTGCTCTTACATGCATGCATTCATACATAGCCATAATATTGTATATCTATCCAATATCTAAACTGATTATCTCTTAGATGGTTGACCTGGGGCCAGTCAGGGTCAACACTAGGTGAAAGGCAGGGTGCATCCCGGACAGGTCGCCATAGAGACTGACAACATATTCACACTCATACCTATTGGCACATAGAAACAGACAGTTAACCTAACCTGCATGTCTTTGGACTGTGGGAGGAAGCTGAAGTACCTGGAGAAACTCCCACGCAGGCACAGGGGCAACATGCAAACTCCACACAGAAAGGCCCCGCTCCCAGACCCTTCTTGCTGTGAGACAACAGCACTTAGCACTGCACCACCATGCCACCCAAGTATTGTACATAATCTAATAAATTCAGACTGAGTGGCCTGTACTGAAACAATCTCGGTTGCTTTGTCAGTAATTATATGCAGTTCCTGTCCTCATTTAGATGCAGATAGAGTGGACAAACATCAGAATCAATTGTAGGCACTGCTCTGATTCCAAATCCCCAGGCAACCACCAGCTTTTATGTAATGACTTCTAAAAACAAAGACATTGCCTTAACATACTTTGTATGTGTGTGTGTGTGTGTGCGAACACAGATCTGTGTGTGCCAGCATGTGTACTTTACATACCTGTGTGAGCATTCTGTTGTCACATCTCTCTCTCTTTCTCTCTCTCTTATCATTTCAAGCACCACATTATTCTAAGCTGCAGTACTGAAAGAATACTCTAGTTATCATGTAGGATTCAAACTCAGATGAAATATGACAGATTTTCTCTGAGGATCTGTAGAGCAAATCCTCTAAAGAAAAACAATTCATTTTGTTCTAACATGAAGGCTAAATAGCGAGGGCAACCAGGACAGAAATTGCTAAGCAAGAACCACAGACTGTCTTTGTTTCTTGTTCAATATTCTCCATTTTCAGGTCAAAATCAAAGACACAGTCATCCATCTGTTTTATCTAAAGTATTTCTTGCAAGTGTACCTGCAGTAAAGAAATCTCCAGACAGTCTAATTAGATGCCCAACCTAAAAAAAGATTCCTGATATACCAAACATCTGTTTAAGGAGCTGCTTTCATGTCTTCCAGTTCCACCAAGACCCTGGGAACGAGAGAGGAGGTATATGCTTACCTATCTTCAAGTTAAACACCCATTTGAACTTGTCTTTTGGTGGAAAGCATTATTTACAGCATTTAATGGCACAAGAATCAAGACCTGATGTCCCTTAGCTGCTTTTTACATGTAGTTTGGAAACTATGTATGTCTCAAATTATCCTTGTAATATTATATTTTTCCTATCTTGACCTCCACAGTGGTCATTGATATTTTTTACAGTCAGCACAATTTGTAAAATGTTTGTTATAGGATCCTGTTACAAGCTTTGTATTCACCTCATTTATAACAGTTACAGCTGATAATACATTATTACATTTGGCATTTTTAAGTGTGTTTAATCAACTGCTCCCAGCTTTGTATTTATATGTGCATTCATTCACTTCACTTATATGAAGATTATTTGGTGTTTTTTTTATTTTTATTTTCAACAGCATAAGTATCGCTGTGCTTTGAACAGCGGGTTCCTGTTTTATGACAATCAGGCCTCTGCAGTTCTCTGCTGGCAGTAATTGTTTATACAGCATACAATGTATTAAAGCACTGTCAGTATGCAAAATGAAAGAAAGATGTTTCTCAGTTTGCTCATTTTTGACACCTAATAAATGTTATTACTTATATCATTATGTGATATTCTCAAGTTGAACAGGAAACAGAAAAGAAGGAATCACTGTTCTTTGCTGTTTGGTATTTATAGTTGCATTCTACCTACCAGGAGTAGCTAAATCAAATATTATGGCCATGACATGGCACTGTGTAATATCTCATATGCAGGTGTTTGAGATGCGATATACTGCAAGTTAAACTAACATTGGCAGATTTATGGACACTTGGGGGCAGCAGAAACACAAGAACGATAAAATTGATGTAAAATGTGTTAGCAAACAATTGTGGTTTACACATTGAACAGGTGTGAAGCAACGTTAGTCACTGAACGACATGATAGCATTCAAAGCAGGTGTCTGGAGTCGTGTAGCTACCTAATGAATATAAGGCTGATGTTCACTCTCCTTTTAGCTATTCTTTGGCTTCCACCAGCTCCCGAGGAAAACAACTGCCTCTTAGGCTGCCAACTGTTTCACAGTACTCAGCAGCTTCTAATTGTGTCAGTCTGCTGTTGCTGCTGGGCAGAAGGTTTTTAGAACATTTTAGAAAATGGCACAGATGAGAGCGGTGAGAGCGACAGTTATCTGG